GGGACAGGTAGGGGGTAGAGTCCTAGGGGGCCAGTTAGGATGGGGGGAGGGTCTCAGGAGGGGGCAGTCAGGGGACAAGAGGCAGGGAGGCTTAGGTAGGGGGTGGAGTCCTGGGGGGCAGTTAGGGGCAGGGGTCCCAGGAGGGGGCAGTCAGGGGACAAGGAGCAGGGGGAGGGTTGGGGGTTCTGAGGGGGGGAAGTGGGAGGGGCAGGGGCGGGGCTAGGGCAGGACAGGGGCGGGGCTCCTCCCGTCCTCTTTTTTGCTTGCTGGATTATGGTAACCCTACCATAAAGCTCCTCCTGGCCTCTTGCTAGTGTGCAGCTGTTCACAGCCCGTGCTGAGGTCGTGAACAGGTGCCAGTGATGCCAGCCCTGCGATGTCTCCGCACAAAGCCTGGCTGCTCTGACTGCAGCCATCCCCTTCCCCTGAGGAGAGCCCAGCACTGCTCAGAGAGGGGTCCTGGCTTCATGTCCCCCGGCTTGGAGTCTGCTGGGGCATAAAAGAGTGTGGCTTCCTGCAGGGTCCTAGAGTTTCCATGTGTCCAGAAGGACATTGTGTTTCCCTGTAGTTTCTGCCCCTTTATGGATCTTCTCCTAAGTGTTGCAGTGTGCTGAGACCTGTGCAGGACACAGCCCCAGTTCCCGCCCCAAGGCCCTTGGAATGGAAAAGATGGACATAGATCAAGTAAGAGCACCTCCCGAAAAGAGTGCTTAAAACAGTGTGCTGGGCTGACTTTAATTGGAGGGCGAAGGCCTAAATGCCTAGTCATGGGAGACATTGCCTTGGTAGCCCTTGTGGGCCTCCTGGAATGGTACCAGGAAGGGAGCCTTGTGCATTGGGATTTGAAGGGCCAATTACCAAATTCTGCTGCTGCTGCTTTTATGGCAGGCCTAAAAATCCATCCTTCCCTCTCCCATCCCTCCTACTAAGACTCTGGGCTATTCCTCAGTCACCTTCGCTGCTGTCAGCTCGTCCTCTCCCCTCCAGTGCCACCACAATCATCTTCCTTTCCCATCACTGACTTGTCACGCCCTTATTTGCATCCCTCCACTGGCTCCCCAACACCTTCCATATCAAGTTCCAGCTTCTGGTCTCCTGCCTGCCCCTCTGTTCTCATGTCCTTTCCCCAAACTCCTCTTTATAACCTTCTGTCCAATGTAGATTGCTTGAAGTTTACAATCTTACAGCATCTTGGCTTCACTATGTCTACCCTGTGTCCCCGGTGCATTCATTTCACAATGTGAATGCTGGCCAGACAGTGGCATCGCTACATTTTCCCAGCTACTTCATAACTATTTTGTATGGGCACTGCATATTAAACAGGGTAATGCAAACCTGCTTGCTGCTCTGAGGAGCTCTGCATCTTAATTCAGACAATTAGGGAACCAAACAATATTAATGCAAGACAGTTTCACTTCTCCTGTGATCCCAACGTGGAAATTCTGAGTAGCTTTTTTTTTTGTTTAAAGTGTAATTGTTCTACACAAAACAGTTTGATTAAACAGAACTGCAAACTGCGATAGACAATCAACCAACAACTTCCTTTGCTTACAAGAGTTTCACCATCCACACTCCCCATACAAAAAATGTTGTGTGGGAAATCATTCACTGCAACTGCATCTTTTTGGTCTAAACACTGTGGAAGGTTAAGGATCTATTGAAAAGTAATCAGCAGACAGTAACTTCACTGCATCAACTAGCCTGTGCTTATGTGCTAACTTAACTGTAAAAATAAATACATGGCACATGTGAGACTGACGTTATCATGGACAAACAATTCAGTTAAACCTTATTGAATGAGGTGTAATACCTTTGGGGTCCATTGTATTAACAATGTAATTGAGTACATGCTGTTGAGGAGCAGGTTGCTAATGTAATTCCTCCAGTTATTAGCCCTTTGAAGCTGGAGAGGTTCGCATATACTAGTTCAAACTGCATTCTCCAGGGACCAACAGACAAAGAATGGCGTTTCTGATAAATAGCCTGGTTTTAAACAGGCTCAGTCGTCTTCCTGATCCAACAAACAGACAAGGCCCCTGGTCCACAGAGGGGCCTAGTCCTTAGGGAAGGGTTGGCAGGACTGGGCCTAGACCCGTAAAACTGGGTGCTTGTTCTGTGATGAACTTGAAACCACAAGGAAACCCAGGACTGTTCCTACCAGAGCCCATGTTAGGGTTGGGATGATCTCTGGTTATTAGCATGTGTGTAGGTTCTTTTATTATTTTTGTGTTTTCTCTGAAGTGCTTCTACCCTAAGAATAAATAGGGTTCCATTAAAAGAGCTGTGTGGTAATTGGAACTGTGGGCAGTCACTGCTAAATGTCTCTGAAGAGAAAGCAAGTAGAACTGCTGGGGCAGCCTGTCTCTGCTGGGAATAACAGTGAAGGCAGGGAACTGTTCAGCCTGGAGATCCCTTGGTCAGAAGGGCGAGGGATGTCTCCATGCAAGAGAGGTGACAGCCAGGGGAGTTGGGAGCCTAGCATGGGTGCCTTTGCTGAACCATAGAGGGGAAATACAGGTGCAGTTGCCCTGAACTGTGACAGCACATACATACTGTAGTCACACACAAACAGTAGTGCTATCTACTGCCACTGAGGAGAGGGTGAGTACAGTACAACAATAGGAGCAAACTGTCAGCATATATTTTCAGCTAGGATTGGTTTTTTATTTTTCTTCTTTGCATATGCTTGACAAAGTGTTGCTAAAAAGATCACTAAAAATCACACTTGGGATTTTTTTTTTACCTACTGTTGTTCCATGTAACAATTAAGATGCCTGTAATGGAAGCAACATGAAAAAAAAGTTTGTTTTATCTGTAGATTGACAGCACATCATGTAGTCAGTGTTACTGCTTCACCTGTCTGGATGGGCCTTTCGAACTGCAACAGAAGCAATAAACCCCTCCTAAAACGATAAAACATGGTTGTCAAACCACACACCTGCCCTGTGAACTCAGGGGCAATTGTAGAACCTGAACCTAGTTGGTCACTTTTAAATGAAATCCATGTAAAAAGAAATGGAAGTGTCCCTTTAACTCCAGTGATGTTTAGTCACTGAACTTAGCCAATCTGCTAGAGGGAGGAAAGTTAATACCAAAATTCTAGATGTTACAAGACCAGAAGTGAGCGCTCCTGGATCCATAACTGAGGTCAAATTTTCAAATGTGGTCAGTAGCTCTCACTGCTCAGCCTCCTTGGAACATCTGGCCCCAATCTCTTTCAGACCACCTGTGCGTGCAAACGAAAGCTTTAGCAATCCCAAAGCAGCCTTGTTCGGTTTACACTGTTCTTCCCATTGTTTGTAAATAACCTAATCCCTAACAAAGGATGCTGCATCCATCAGCAGCTGCGTCATTAGCCCTGGAGCCCTACCATACTGGAGTGTATTGTTCTTGGTAGCGCAATAACAATGTGCTATTTGTCTGTGCAGTAGTGCCTGCTGCCAGCAGAGGGGGTTTCAGAGCTATGGTCCATTGTTGGAGACAAACTGCAGCAGGAGCCTTAGCCCAGGGCTCACATAGTAGGTGAAAGACAAGGTGGGTGAGGTACTATCTTCTATTGGACCAACTTCTGTTGGTGAGAGAGACAAGCTTCCAAGCCTCCTCTCTTATCCTGGGAGTGACCGATCTAGCTGCCCCTCCCCTGCGTGCAGTATGGGAAAGATGTTTCAAGAGCACAGTATACTTAGTGCAAACCTCCTTGTGGTTAGTGGTTGACTGCAGGAGATGTTTGGAAAGCCTGGGAACGCAGCTGTGACAGCTAAGGCTGATTTTGCTGTTTGGGACCATACACTCCATGGACTTCAATTAAACGGCCTGTGGTTACGTTCAACTGTGGGAGACCCATGGAGACTATGACTCTCAGCATGCATTACTCTGATTCAAGTAGCCTCCATCCTAAAGGTGTACTGCCCCAGGGAAGCTGTAGCCGGAGCTTGAGGTATCTCAATGGAAATTAAATCCTGCAATTGACTCAGCGTTGGCAGTTCACTTGAAGCCAGCAGGCCACTAGTGAAGCCATCCCTTGGCCAGGGGGTAGGTGCCTCTGTAGTGGGTGGCTTCTCCTACGCTGGCCTGGCCTGGGCTCTGGGAAGAAGGTTTCTTAGCCACTTGTTGCCAGCTACACAATGTAGAATGCCAACTACTCCTGTGTGCAGCGGTGGTGTATCCTTGTTGCCCAGGATAAAAGAGAGACAAGGTGGGTAATAAAAGATACTATCTCCCCCACCTTCACTCTCCAATGCTTTGCTATGTGGCCAGGAGTCTGACTACCAGCTTTGGCTCCCACCTTCACCACAGCCATGACTGGCTCTTCCGCTGTCAGCTTGGGCAGGTCCGTTCCCCCACCTATCAAAAAGAGGAAATTCCCTCAGTGACAGGGGTGTTAGGGACTACTTCAGTGAGCATCTGAGCAGCTCCCATAGAAGAGGGTATTTGGGCTGATGGGACATTTATGGACTCAGGAGTGCCCCAGGGTCACACGTGCAGCTCTCACGCCCTTGACATCTACTCACCACAGCATGGAGCAGAGAGCAGTTTCCAGCTCCAAGGCGGAAAGGCTGGGTGTAGTGACTCCGGCTCCCACCAGACACAGCTGTAGCCAGAGGTGAGGACTGATAGAAATGGAGCACTGCAGGCTGAGACTTGGAAGGGAAGGTGCACCTGGTGAGCGAACAGGGTTTCCCAGCCGGCTTGCAGAGTAGCCAGCAGGGTTGAGTTTAACTCCCAGGCAGGAAAGCCTACAAGCTCCTGGACCTGGGTGCAGCTCTGGACAGTAGGAGCTGCCACGCAGGCTTCCACAAACAAACCCTTCCGGGCCTTGCTGCTATTCACAGCGGTGGTGTTACAAGTAGCTGCTCTTATCTCCACCTTTCTGAAGGAGCTGGTACTAGAGCCCTTCTCCCCCACCCTGTCTCCTTAGGGCTTGAGAGCTGCTTTGTCTGAAGGTAACTACCGGTCAGGGCCAGGCCCTGGTAGAAACGCTGGCCGAGGGCCGCAATGCAGGCCCTGCCGCCAGGGGCGCTGTTTCTACTCAAGCCAGAAGCTGGGCAAGAGAAGAGCCCAGCTGCTGAGCGGGAGTAGGGTGACCAGACGCTCCGATCTGTCGGCGTTTGTCCGATATTTCGCGGTATTTTTTTTTTTTTTGCTCCGCCGGCGGACCTCCCCCCGTCCCGATATTTTCTTCCTCTCATCTGGTCACCCTAAGTGGGAGACAGACAAAGGGCCCTGCCTACAGCTGCTGGAGGGAGCCGGCTCCCTGTCGCTCTAACTTGCTCAGACTTGGGCCCCCTCCAGCAGCTCCATCCCCCGCAGCTGGCTTGCTGTGAGCGCTGGGCCGGTCGGCGGGGACCCCGGCCCTGCCTGCAGTGCACTGGAGAGGGAGTGCTTGGACAGTGCTCGGGGGTCAGTGGTTACATACCACGTCCCTCCTGGGGCAGAAGCCAGAGCAGCCGCAGGTCCCTCTCTAGGGCAGTGACTTTGCAGGGCCCATGCTAGGTACCCCCGGCCCAGAGCCAACGAGGGGCCCCACCCGGAGAGGGCCCCAGGGTTCCTGACAAGGTGGAGCTTGCCTGGCTAGGGGGACCCGGCCTGCCCCGCGGGGGAAGCGCCCCGGGCTCCCCGGCCGGCGCCGCGCACACTTGCCTGCTGGGGCAGGGGCGGGGCCGTCCCGAGCCGGGGTCGCTCCTCCCGCCGGCCCAGAGCTTGCTGCTCGCTGGGGAAGTGGAGTTCGACTCGGGCGGGCTCTAGCGCTCCCGCTGATCGCGCCCCGCTCCCGGCCGGGTCCCTGAGGCCGGGCACACGGGCAGCCCCGTCCCGCTTCTGCGCCGGGCCGGGCCGCCGATGGGGAGGCTGATTCTGGGCGAGCTTCGGACGAGCAGCCCCCGGGGAGCCCCGCCTGGACCCCGGCCCGCGCCCCGGCCGCTGCTGGCTGCCCGGGACCAGAATGCCCGCCTGGGGGATCCTGCCCGTCACCCTGCCCACCGTCACCATCACCGGCATGTGGATCGTGTAAGTACTGGGCTGGGGGGCGCTAGGGAGCGCGGACACCGGAGCCCAGCCCGGGGCGGCGACCCCTTATCGCTGTCCCCATGGGGCTCTGGGCTCCGGGCAGCGATTCCCCAGTATCTGCACCTAGTGAGCCCTGTCCAGCGATTTCCCCCATCACTGCCCCCTTGGGGGCCCTGGGCTCCGGGCAGCAATTCTCCCCTCTCCCCTAGTGAGCCTCGTCCAGCGATCCCCCCCATCACTGCCTTGGGCTCTGGGCAGCGATTCCCCCCATCACTGACCCCATCCGGGCTCAGGGCAGCGATTCTCCCCTATCATTGTCTGGTGATTCCTCCCCCATCACTGCACCCTATGGGGGCCCTGGGGAGCAATTCTCTCCTCCACCCCCCTATCACTGCCTCCTAGCGAGCCCTGTCCAGCGATTACCCCCCATCGCTGCCCCCATGGGGCCCTAGGCAGCGATTTCCTCCCCCCCCATCACTGCCTGGTGATCCCCCCATCACTGCCTCCATGGGGGCCCTAGGCTCTGGGCAGTAATTTCCCCCACACACACACTGCCTGTTGATCCTCCCCCATCACTGCCCCCCAGTGGGCCCTAGGCAGCAGTCATCCCATCACTGCCCCCCATGGGTGCTCAGTGCCAACTGAGGTCTCTGGGAAAGCTACAGGTGGGACACCATCCTGCAAATCGGGCTGGGCTAGGGGAGCCTCGAGGCAGGTGGGCTGGAGGGGAAGAGGTGGGTGGATTGGAAGGGCTGATGAAGAGATGGGCGGAGGGCTTATGCTCCTTTCAGTGTCTTAGCTGGACAGCACAGCTCAAGGCTCTGGGTCACCTTGTCAGGGGGTTGCGTGGGCTAGGGGAGATGTCAGTGTCTCGGACTCGCCAGCCCTGTAGCAGCAGATGCTGAAGGTTCGATGTACCCACACCTTGTGCCTGCTGTGGGTTGTGCCAGTAGGAATTACAGATGGAGAATACCTCTTTAAATCAGCCCTCTCTCCTCCCCCAGGCAGGACTAGTCACTGCCGTGAACTTCCCAGGATTCTTGCCAAGGCGAATTTGAAAGGTCCCAGGCGATGGGTCTTTCGCCTCTTCCCAAGGGAGGATTCCCAAAGGATAACATGTCTCATTGCCAGGAATTTTTCTCTTGAGCGAAGCCAAGCCTTCCCCTTTCCTAGTTTAATTGAGCCAAGCTCCCTTTACACCCTGTTCGCTGCACTAAGTAATTCCAGTAATTCCACTTCTTCTCGCCTCCGTACTCCCCTCCCGTACTTTCAGACTTCAATCACCCTCCCTAGTGGCTCTGCCAAGCCAGACGTGTTTAATCCCTTCTCCTGAATCCATTGCTCCAGCTCATTTTTACTGCTCTTCTCTGAGCTCCCTGCAAATGGGTCAGTGTCTTTCCGGTGCCCAGAACTGAAAGGTGTGTTCTGGGCGTGGTCATCCTGAAGCCAGACGCTGACTGTCGCCTCCCTGCTCGGTTACCAGTCAAGGATGCTTTGATCTCTCTTGCTGTCCAGCTCATCTAATCTGCTGTCCTGTGTCACGCCTCAGCTTCTCCCCAACTCTCCTGCTTCCCCCTCCCACCCCCCATGTGAAGTTGAATCACAGTTTATTTGCCCATGTTTCTAATCTCCAAGTCTCTCGGTGGTGTCTGGTGTCGTCTCTTTGTCTTCGTTGGGGCTCCTGATTTCCCGTCCTCCCCAACCATTAGCTCAGTAGCTGCCTTGTGCTGAAGCTGTGGAATCAAACAGGCCACTTCCCAGTTGCCTTTTATCATTACCCATTGTTGGAGCCTTTCAGCCCCCGTGACCCTGCTGGTATTGGAGCCACTCTGAATTAACGCTGAATTAACTCTGTCTCAAATGCTCTGGGTTCCTGGGAGCCCTGGCAGCTTTGTGGATTGATGCAAAGTTGAAGAAAATGCAGCAAACTCCAGAGTGAGGATAATGAACCCCCTGCCCCCATCTGGAAACTGAAGTGAGGTTTCAGGTGTGTGGTGTGGTGTCTTTATCTTCCTTTGTTGCAGCTGGACAGGAGACAGGATTACTGGGCTAGATGGACTGTTGGTCCGATCCGGTCTGGCAATGCCTAGGTTCCTACATCACTGTGCTTTAAGTGACTTGCCATGGATAAAGCTGCTTCCTGTACACGCTACTGAATTCAGGCATCTGGCTAGCTGAGACGACCAACACATAGCGTCTCGGAGTTCTCTGACTTCTGCAGTGCTGCTACACTAGAATTGTATTAATAATCCTAGTCCAATCCAGAAGTGCAATATCCAAAACTGGATCCTGTGGGGCCTTTCCGGCCAGGCCAATTGACCTGACCCGTATTGAAGACAGGAGAGAGATGTGCAGTGTTCTCAGTTCCTTACACATCCTCCCCCTGATATGCATCCACAGCCTGGTGTGTTCACCTAGGACCTCTGCATGCCTCCACCCACAGCCTCTCCTGTAGGGGCTCAGGTGTCATCCATGGGCTGCTGGCTTCCTAGCCCTATAAAACAGTGTGGATCTGGTCAGTAACGACGCTAGTGCATCAGTCACCCTGCCTAAGTGACCCTTGTAAATAAGCTAAGCCTCCAATGAATGTTGCCTGGTGAAGGGTCTTCAGTGCCATTCACCTGCCCATATGTATAAGAGGGGACAACGTAGTTCCTCCCACCCACAGCACTGCCCAGCTGGCTGCTGCTGAAACTGATAGGAAAGGGGAGGCTGCAGCTCTTGCTCTTGGCAGTAAGTGTCAACCTGGGGCCTTCGCTGCCCAAGGCTGCTCCTACTGTGGACAAACAGCCCCTGGGTGCTGAGCAGACCTGTTTCTCGTGTGGCTCCAGCCTCAGGGCTGCTGATTACTCCGGCCAGCCCTGCAGATCCAGCGCAGGTGAGAGCACGAGATCTGGAGGCATGTCTGATTCCTGCATCGCTGGCAGAACCTTGTCCCGGCGATGCGGGGAGCACGGAGCCTGGGGGCTGGTGGTGGTTTGCAGAGCCCAGGGGGAGTTTTCAGCGCTGGGATGTCATGGCCCTGTGAACTGGGCCCAGGTGGCCTGGAGCCACTGAGAGTATGTGTGAACTCCAGCCGGGCATGTGGGATTGCAGCAAGTGTGGACGTACCTCAGCTAGCTAGGATCTAGCTAGATCTACTCGCTGGAGTAACAGTGGCAGTGTCTGCCCCTTGTGACTCAGGAGTAATGATCAGCTTCACTGCTATCATTCCTGGAGCTAGCTTTGGTCTGGCTAGTTGAAAGCCAGCTCAGGTATGTCTGCCGATTGCAGTGCAGACGGACCCGTGGAGAGGACTCCCCAATGGCACCTTGACAGCCCCTCTTCAGGGCAGAGCCTTACCTGGAGTCCTCTCTGGAGAGCTCCCTTGAGGCTCCCTTTCTCCAAGCCCTTCCCTCAGATGTGCGTAGTCCCTGGCTGTGTCCTCAGGGCTGATTCTCATGGGCCAAATACCCCCAGAGGAGCTGTCTTGGCTAAAGCTGCCTCTGGCTGCTGTAGCAACCGCTGTACCCGGAGGGTCATAGAAGGGGAGCAGAAATGCATTGAGTGCTGCTCTCTCCAGGTGGCTTCAGCACCGTGCAGTGACGGTGGCTTCCACGCCTGACGGGGTCGCTGTGCTGATCGGAAGAAGCCCTCGAAATGCCAATGCCACAGATGCCCCGGGATGGGAAAATCCAGCCAGGTCCTCTGCACCTCTGGCATTGTCACCTGTCACGCTGAGCTGGCTGCTCCGCTGACAGACCCCAGCTTGTGCACATCAGAGAGCCCGGCAGAGGAACAGGACAGGAAGCTCCTGTGGGAGAGCAAGGCGGGGGTGTGTGTGTGATATAAAGAAACTGGAGGAGAAACGGCGGTTTGTGCGCTGGAGGGGCAGGGCCGGAAGGTCTGGGTGATCTGCCTGCTTAGTTACACTACCCCAGCTGGGCTCATGGTGGGTGCATTGGGATGAGCTGCTGAGGATGCCTGTTCTGGGAGCAGGGAGGGAGTTAGCGGGGTGCTAAGAGTTAACAGCAGCCCCTGGGAAGGGAGAGCAGGACCTGGGGCGAGGTTGGGACCCTGTAGCCCTATGGAATTGCACCTCAAGTGAGGTATGCCAGGCAGCGGTGCCCTGCCTGTGGGTGTCCCAGCAGTGCTGCCCTCAGGCCTGGCTGTCTGTACAACGCCCCTAGTACCCTGGGATGTTACGTGGCCACCGTGGTAACTAGAGAGGTTTCTTACTGGTGCTTGTGCCTATTTTTAACGGGTGTTGGTCATCGTTAGCGTCAGCAGCTGCCCACAATTGGAGCCAGCCCAGGGCAGGATCCGCCCGATGCTCTAGGGCCAGCCAAGCACCAAGCTGCCCTTCTCGAAGCGGGAACTGGTGCAGAAGGGTCAGCGCAAAGAGATCGTGGAGAACCACCAGCCCCCCCCCGCCCAGGGCCTTGGAGCATGTTAGACGCTAACCATTAGGCCTTGTGCATTCCGGGAAGCATTAACCATTCTGCAGCTGCATACTGAGGCTAAGTGATTATCCCAAGATCCCTCAGAGTTGGTAAGAGAGTAGGAGACCTAAGCCCTGGTCCCCTGCGCTGGTCACTAGTGCGCTACCCTTGGGAGACCCTGATCCTGCATCTTTGTGCCCCCAACATCAGCAGGCGTTGGGAATGCACAAGGACTGCGGGCCTGCGCCCTAGCGCCTCCAAGAGGCCAGTGAGGAGTAGCACAGCCTTGAGCAGCATTGGGCCCAGTGCCTGCTTGTCTGACTGTTCAGTCTCTCCAGCATCCCGGCCTCTCCCTGGGAAAGGCACATGAAACAAGCTGCCCACCTGTCCCTCCTGGGCAACCCTCTTAGACTCATCACTGTAACTGGGCTTGGCTACCTTGGCAGCCACTGAGTTCTGAGTGATTGACACTCCTGCCTTTAATGAGCCGCGTGGCTAATTTGTGATCCAAGCCCAGCTGCCCAGCGCTGTCAGGCAGCCAGCCCTGGATCCCAAGGGGCAGCCATCTGTAAATGCATCTTGACGTGCCTGTGAATGAATCCTCTCTCTCCCTGTGTTTGTGGGTGTCACCGAGGTGCGGGAGGGTGTGTTTGGAGGACTGGACTGTGCATGTGAGAGGGACACACTGAGCCCTTTCCCTAGAGGAGTCTGGCTGGCTGAAACAGCCGGAGATTCCTGCTTTGGGCAGGCGGCTGGAGCGCTAGGGCCTGGAGGTTCCATGGCAGTGGGGGAGCGACGCTCGGCCCGGAGGAGGCGGCGGACAGCATGGGGTCAGAGGGAGAATGTGTTTGGGTGTGTGCCAGCTGCTGCCAGGAGATGCCCCTTGGTGCTTGGGAAACAGTCTAGACCGAGGTCGGGGAGCGACTGTGCAAAAAGGGCAGAGAACCCTGGGGGCTGCACGAGATGGAGAGTTTTGCTCCCCAATCCAGTCTGCAGGGAATGGAGGGGATTTGCCCCTGGAAATGAAGGGGGCCAGGAGGATCTCAGGGGAAAGAGACAGAAATGCTGGGGAGAGCACAAGCCCTGGTGAGTGGGTGTGTTGTGGAGGGCAAGGCTGGGGAGAACGCTGCTGGGGTACCAGAGATTCCTGGGGGCTGGGAGAGGAGGGTCCCTGTGCCGCTCTGGGGGATCTGGATGGCAGTAGGGATCGGCACCCCTCTGCTAGAACTCTCCTATTCAGCACCACAGTGGCTAGACTAGACTCTGCTTTCCGGGGCTTTCCATGGTCCTCCTGCAACAGGGAAATGCAGCAGTGATGGTTTGGCGGGTGATAAACGGCAGGTGAGACCATTGGGTGGCTCTAAGGGTAGCTGTGCAGGCTCCTTGCTGCAGCCAGGGAGATGCTGTGACCAGATACCGATTCAGGTGCTCTGGCCAGGCGTCCCCACCCTGGGGCATACAGCTGAGATCAGGTTCTCCCTGGCCTGTTCCTCTGCTGCTCAGTGAATTCGAGCTGATGTCGTCCAGCCTAGTTATTACAGTGCTGCCCTCTCCTAACACCCGTCGGGAGTGACACACTGACCTGCATGGAGGGTGATCCTCTTAACGTAGCAATCCCCCTCCCCACTGAAGGTCCTAGGGGCAGTGGGAATCAATCCGAGCTCTTCATGGATCCAGCCCTCTTCCCTCAGTCTCGATCAATAGGCTGCGTAAACCTCGGCTGGGAGCGTGGGGTCACTCTCCGAGCTAGAGCATTCCAGTGCCGCTCAGTTGCTCTGGGAGACGCTACCAGAGGCTGCCTGTGGCTGCTGCCCTGAGTCTGTGCATCTCCCTGAGGAAGTGCTGCTGGGGGTGTGGCGTGATGGGCTGGAAGGGGCATGGGTGGGGTGATCTAGCGAGGATCGAAGATTGAACTAACCCAGGCATTCTTCTCTCTCCTATAGGTATGCCATGGCGCTCTCCAACAACCACATCTGCCCAGTCCACAACTGGTAAGTAGCCCTGGTGGGATGGGACCTTTGTTGGCTGGGAAGGGGGTCCCCACCAACTGGCTGCGGAGCCTGTCGTGGCAGGTCCTTCGCTGAGCAGGGCGGAAAGGCCTGTGCTGGCACTGAGACACAAGGCCATGCGGGCAGGGCCGGCGCAACCCATTAGGCAACCTAGGCGGTCGCCTAGCGTGCTAACATTTGGGGGGCGGCGACCGCGGTGGCCGGATCTTCGGCCGCCCTGGTCGTCATCGGCATTTCGGGGGCGGGACCTTCCGCCGCCTAGGGCGGCAAAAAAGCTGGTGGCGCTCCTGCATGCGGGCAGGTGTGTGGGAGGGTGTGGCGACACAGTACCTCTCCCCACGGCCTAGCTGCTGGGGGTTGGGCTGAGGTCAGTGACCCAGCCCGCACACAGGCATTCTGTCTCCGACCTAGTTCCGGCCAAGGCTGGCCTTGCCCAGCAAATCAAAGGGAAAGCGGTTGCTGATCAGGTTAGACGGGTGATGGGGAAACTCCAGGTCCTTCTTGGTCCTTGTCATTTCGTGTGGATCAGCTCCTGTTTCCCAGAGCTGGCCCCAAATACCAGCATCGCAGCCTGGTGGTGGAGTAGTGTGGGGGGGCTGCTAGGGCTGGAGGCTGGTGTCCTGTTGATTGCGGGGCCCAGTATGTTCCCCTCCATGGCATGTCTCCACAGAGGGCCTGTTCCCCACATCCAGACCCTGATTGTCCTTTAGACCTGGCTCCGGGTCGCTAAGGTCCTCTGTTCACCAATATGCCCCACCCCAGGTCCTCTGACTCTGGGAGGTGGGGTAGGATGAGGGGGGATTGGTGAATTGTTCACATGCTGGGCAGAGACAGGCTGTAGAGAAGCCAGAGCCCGATGGGTTACAATCCTAACCAGTCTTAGCAGCTAAGCAGGGTCAGGCCCAGGCAGTACATGGATGGGGGATCTCCAGCAAAGGCCTATGTTCAGCAGCAGGTAGTGTTGCTGACTCAGGAGGTGGCCCTCTTCAGCTGTGGTATTGAAGCCATGCTCCAGCATGGCGCTAGGGGGCGCTGTGTTGTAGGGTGTTATTTTGGGGGTCTTGGCCTGCTACACTCCACCTCCCCCTGCCATTGCAATGAAACGTGGTACACGTCACTTCCTCCCCTGACCTGCGGGGCGGCGCCGCCCCTTGCTGTGAAACAGTCACCTGCTGTGGCTCATTGGCAGGGCAAGGCAAGCCTGGCTTAGAGCTCATTCATTAAGGGCTTAGTCCTGCAAACCTTTCCGCCCTTGAGTAACCTGATTGGTGTCAGCAGGCCCACTGGCTTCAAGGGAGCTGCCGATATGAGTAAAGCTAGTCACGTGTGTTAGGAGCCTGCAGGATGAGCCTCGAGCGTTCAAAGCCCTTTAGGATCTGGCCGTGTGACTGGTGCTATATAAAGCCCCCCACCAGAACATGGTCAATATGTGAGTAAGGCGGCTCCAGTAAATAATGTAACCCTTGTTAGAAGGTTTCCACTCAAACCCCCCAGAGCATGAAAAAGTCTGCAAATAAGCAGTTAAGGGAATCGTAGAGGGGTGTGAGTCTCCATGGAAAAGGTTGGAACTCGCTGCTTTGCTCTGTTGAGGCTGAATGTACCCCTCCCCCAACTTTGCCAAAACCAAACCGACCTTGCAGCTTCTCCTGGCAGATCTTAGCAGAGGGTCGACCTTTCTGGAAAGTTATGGACAGATCGGACCAGGTGTCCGGGAGAGGTGGGGATTAGAAAATTGACTCGTTTTTGGACATTTCTCTGAATGGCTTTTGGCTTTGCCGTGTCTCGTAAAGAGCTCAGAGGTAGAAGCGACGGGTTAGTATATTCTGGCTGGTGTACACAGCTCTCGGTGCAAGAAAAAAAAATATACACTGCTATTTCCTGCAGAATATTTTATTTTGTCTTCAGACAAACGCATTTTTCTCCATTGGCTTCATAGCATAAACAGAATGCTGACGATGAGTAATGCTAAAGAACTTGGTTTTAATTTTGAAAAAACAAACCCAAACCTATGCAGGAGAGACTGCTTAGCTCCCCGTCTCTGAGGTTTCATGTCTGGAAAACAGAGCCACATGGAAACGAGAAGGGTCTGAAAAAATGCCAATTCTAATCTTTCCAAAGGGAAGTCCTTTTTAACTCTGTGATTACCAAACAGATTCAGTTGTAACTCACCGGTAAGACAGAGATTGAGCTCTCTAGTACACGGCGGAGTTCTGAGAACCACCAGCCTTTGTTTTTATTTATGCCTAGCAAAGACAACACCTTCTTTTAACTGCGAAACTCAGCCTTAATTATGGAGCTGAGAAGGAGGCCTCCATCTGTAAGGTCAGATGGAATTTTAGGCTGGGAGCCTGGGTCCTAAGGGAACTGGGTGCCAGACACCCTGTGGTTCTGTTGAAATCCCAGCCGTAATGGTCTACTGCCGTCTATCGGGGAGAATCTAAACTGCTTAGCTATGTGACATAGACCTCCAACTCACATGCCTGTGGCCTGTGTTTCTGGAGCTGGAAGACACGGGTTCGAGGCCCGCTGTGCCTATAGAGCCCTGAGTGGGCGGTGTCGGTGCTGCTGGGGTTTGCGGAGCTGTGGCTGTGGTACACGTGTGTGTGAATGCTGGGTGTACGCCCGTATGGGAGGGTGCTTGTGTGTCTGCCAGGGAAGGGCTGGGGGTGGGTGCCCAGGGGGAGCAGGTTGTGCGGCGGATGAGGGGAGTGCCTGAAAGTGTTACAGCGGAAGTCGATCAAAGTGGGAAGTGACCTGATTTCAGATCTTTGTGGGGGTCTGGCGGGCCCTGTCCCAGCTTCCTCCCTCCCTGGCTCCCCCACCCCCCCAAGTCTGGGAGAGAGCTCGGGGGCATGGTCCTGCCTCCAGCTGGAGCCCGTCATGTGGCCTGGCCTGAGGGACAGCCCCGTGCCTCCAAGCTGTTTCCATGCCAGGAGCCCTAGGGTGGCTGGGATCTGCAGGTAAATATCTGCCACACTCAGCTCTCGCTGGGCTGAGGGGAGAGCGGTGCCTCCCTGGGATGGCTGGCAGGCGGAGAGGGAACTGTTAGCTGAGTAAGCAATTGACCAAGGCCCCCTGCCACCTCGCCAGCTCCTGCATTCCTGGCCCATCTCCCAGGGTGCTGTTGTTGCGTTCCCTGGCCAAGCTCGGAGCAGCTCACACATCACTTCTGTCGGACGGTAAGGGAAGAGGCCTGATTCTGCAGCCCTCTGGGACCCTAGGGTGACCAGATGTCCCGATTTTTGGGTCTTTATCTTATATAGACTCCTATTACCCCCCACCCCCCGTCCTGATTTTTCACATTTGCTGTCTGGTCACACTCTGGGACCCCCTGCCCCAATCCAGCCTTAGCCCTGCAGCTCTGAGAGGCAGCTCTGGGGTCAGGAGTACTGGACAGTCTCTGGGAGTCCTGATGTGACAGGCACTCTGCTAAGCCACTCCAGCTCCAGAGGGGCCATTTGCAGAAAGGAGGGCCTGGGGGAGTAGCTGGGGCTCTCTACACTATAGCCTTGTTTCAGGCCATCTGCAGGCAGAGCTGTGCAAATCAGTGGGAATGAACTGCCCTTTGCCCAGCTGGATTTGGCAAGCCTATGCTTTGAGCCTCCCTGCTGGGTGGCAGGGCCCTGGGAGTGAGCACGGAAGAGGCGGTGGAGAGGGCAAAGGCCCACTCTGAGCCGGACAGAGCCAGGAGCCAATCCCCGCAGGCCAGGATCCTGCCTGGTCTCCCAGCCTGTTTGGTACCTGGTTGGGAGACCTGCAGGGCCGGCTCAGGTGATGCAGGAATTGCTGCTGTTTCCTGAGTCAGTACAGAACCAGTGTCCAAACGTGGTACTAGGGGCACTTTCAGCTGGGACCTAAAACCCAGCCGCTTGTCCCTTGTGGACATGAACCCTCCCCTCCCCCCGCCCCTTTTCTGGAGAAATTGGGGTCTCGGCTTTGATAGCTGTGTTCTGTCAACCACCTGCATGGTCACTTGGCCATGGTGGCTTTCTCCACTTTCCATCCTCAATGGCTGTGCAGTGTTGCTGTGTGCTGCTGAACAGCTCTCAGGCTCTGGCCCAGAGGTGGCTGCAGCAGCTCCAGCATGCAGTTTCTGGTGGGTTTGTTGCTGGGTGCTTTGGGAGTCCAGCCGGAAGGACGCTATAGAAATCTGTCATGACCATTTAGCACAGGAGCCGGATGGGGAGCAGCAACCTGGGGTGGGAGGGGGGTGGATCCGCTGGGCCCCGGGGGGCCTGCGAGCAGCCTGAGCAGCGCCACTTCCCCTTGAGACTGGGAGGAGATGTTTTGCCCCGTTCTGTCAGCAGGTGAGGGGAGGGGGCTTTGGGGCAGGTTCCCAGGGCTCTGGGCTGCCAGGAGCCTGGCTGCAGGGGGTTCTGTGCCTTTGCAGCAGGCAGGGGAGAACAGCAGTGCATGTTCAGGGAATTCCTACCCCTCCCTTCCTCTCCCACCCCCGCTGTGCTGGAGCCCTCCCCATCACCCTGTCTGGAGGCCTGGCCAAGCTTTGAGCTTCCTGAAAATCCATGGAGCTCCCTGAGGTAACACTTCTGCCCATCCCCCCACTTCCCCCACAGACCTGCTCTTTCCACCCTGAACAGCCCAGTCTAACCCCATCCCACCCAGACAGATGGGTTCCTGCTCTGTCCCCCACACCTTCCCTCCCCTCCCCACCTCTCCTGCTTTGCCTGGATTAATGAGCCAAGGGTCATAAGTCAGGGTTGTCCAGAGTTCTACTCCCAGCTCTTCCACCAACTCCCTGAGTGACCTTGAGCAAGTCATGTCCATGCTCTGTGACTCAGTTTCTCCATCTGTGCAATGGGGATAATAACACTCTCCTACTGCCAGGGGTGTCGGGAGGGTGAATAATGTCTGTATAATGCTTTGATCATACAAGGGCTGTGTAAGTGTGGAATGTTAGAGGTGTGACTGTCTCTCCCTGCATCCCTTGCTGGTAAGACACATGAATGGCTCCCCTGCAGCCA